GTTCAAGAAAGGTAAAAGACAAGCTGTGTGCGCATCATGGGCATCTTTGCACAAGCTCACCAATTCCCTTCTCTAAGCCACCTTGAAAAGACAGCAATAACAAAACACAAAGTGGCAAAAAGCAATTCTCACTGCCAGGCTCCCAGGCTAGCAAAGGGCATGTATAGTTATGGGGTTCCCCAGAACTCAAGATGGAACCTTTTAACTGGAAGTGGTGGCATATGTTATCCCAGCACTAGGGGGGCAGAGGAAGGTGGATTGGTATAAGTTCAAGGTCAGCCTCTATATAATGAGTTAAGAGTTTTAGGCCAGTCAGGGTGAATTATGACAAAAAATTAAATATTTTATTAAATATTTAAAATTAAATATTTATATTGAAATATTTTAAAACTATGATAAAGGCCCAGACACACTAGGCATTTTGTACATGTATGGACTTTAACCCAGGAAATGTACCAATGAAATCTTATGCTCTTGCCAATACATATGCCATTCCATCACTGCTTTCTTAATAGTCTGATTCCTATTCCATAGAAAACAACTGGTATGGGCAAAGTAAGCACCCAGTCATCTGCAGACAGCAGATCACTGAACTGTTGGGAAGCCTAGCTTTCATACCTTGTGTTCTACCAGTAATTAAAACAAAGAGCCAGAACTACTGCATCACTGTAGCTCCCAGCTACTCAACTGGCTTGAATTGTAAGCAGAGTTTCACTCTCTTTCCCTCCCCACCTCTCTCTCACAACCCATCCCCCTAACACATCCCATGGGAAAAAAACTCATGGGGCAGTGAGGAGCAGGGCTCCATCTCTGTCCTCACCCAGCCGCCCTGAGAACTGAGAGCACTGGAATCCATAGGCTCACCCAGCCCCCAAGAGACCTGAGGGAACAGTCATAGGTTGCATCTTGTATTCTTCAGAGACTCAAAGCACTGTGGTAGCTAAGGGAGGGAGACACCTTGTACTAAAGCTAGGGTTCAGGAGCTCTATGGAAACTCACCATCATGGTGCCACCCAAGAGTAGAGCACAAATGCCTACTGCTTGGAAATTATGACAGAGGAAAGGTCAAAAGGTGAGACCAGAGAGGACAAAAAGCCGGTACTAATAGGAGTCAGGAAAAAACTCATCTGCGATTCAGAGATAGGAATGTGGACACTGTCACCTACTTGGTCCTGGTTTCTTTGCAGGACTGAAGAACACTCACTGGCTAAGGACCAATGGCTACTCACAGCTACTGATCTGGAAAATGGATTCATGCAGCAGATGCTGCTTGAGAGCCAAGTTTAAGACCCAGGGAGCTGGGTCTCAAGCAGCTCCTTGACCGCTGACTTGGAGAAAATGGTTTCTTTTTGTTGTTGTTGTTGGTTTTTGGGTTTTTTTTTTAATGATTTATTTATTTATAATTAATTATTTTTAGAAGGGGCATTTCATTACAGCTTTAACATACTCATTAACAGTTTCCAGAGCAAAGATATAGCTCTTTCCAAAAGTGGCTATAAAATTTTTAGGTTCACTGTTAAATGAATACAGTTATACAATATTAAACTCAGTATAAGCCCTGTAAGACATAAAACTGAATGAGTTTTTAACCTTTAAAAAAGATCTCCATTTCATTTTAGAATATAAGAACATCAGTTATCAGCAGTGGTTAACCAGGAAGAAATGTTACCTATTCTTCTTGTGTGCTACCCAAGATGGAAATGGATGCAGCCCAGACCAATTTAGTAGGCACCTTTCAAAATAAAATTGAGTTACATTTCTACTCAAGTAATTAAGAGAAACCAAGCAACTTAGGACCTCTATAACCAGCACTCTAAAGCAGCTGAAGTTGAGTCCATACCTCAAGCACAGCGTATAGTTCATTAAAGGTTTAATTGCCTGGAAGTACCAGAGGAAGAAAAGCAACGTCAGCTCAAAGCTGAGCAGGACAAATATGACTCTGTGTGCCAGACAAAATATGAAATCTACAGCTGGATCACCTCTGTGTCAGTCAGAGGTTCAGTCTACTCATGATAGAAAACAGTTTCTCAACTTAAACTGAATCCCACTGCCACACACAGCCACTTCATCTGATTTATAAGATTGCATTTCACAGAAAAGTGAATCACTTCACATGACTTAAAATAAATCACATTTATATTAATCTAAAAGTTTCCTCAGAAGGAAACACTAAAAAGAAAAAAGGAAACAGCCAATGGCGGGGCGGGGGGCGGGGGGAACGACAGCCCAAGGTTCTAGGGCTGAGACGATGGCTATATGGGTAAAATGCTTGCAGTGCAAAAATGAAAACCTGAGTTTGGCTCTCCAGAATCCATGTTTTTAAAAAGCTAGGCATGGTGGTCTTCACTGTAACTCCAGTGCTCAAGGGCAGAGACAAACAGATCCCAGGGGCTCACTGGTCAGCCAGTCTAGACAAATTGCACACTCCAGGTTCAGTGAGAGACTGTGTCTCAAAAAATAATGTGGAAAGTAACAGGGAAGGACACTCAGTGTCAATCTCTGGCTTCCACACATGCTTACAGGGGCAAGCAAGCGCATCTGCATACACATTTGCACCATACATACACCACACACACACACACACACACACACACACCAAAAAGCCAAAAAAGTTCCAAGTGAGATTTTTAAGATCCTAGAACAAGCCAAAATTTAATTATTAATCATAATTACAAATGACTGAAATTTCTAAAGGTCATGATTTACAACAGAAAAATAAATTTTATCTTAATAATTTTAATCAAATCATTTACTTCTAATATACCATATGCCTTTGGAATTAAAACATTGTTTTGCTTGATGGATTCCCTATCTAGGACAGAAACAGACCAAATATGCCAGCAACAGTCATAGAATTCAGGGTATTATTCCCACAATGCTAGCCTCAGTTTTTTCAAATGTGATTTGGTACTGAGGATATGTCACTTGGAAATCAAAACTCTTCTGGAACATAATCTATATAGAAACACTTATAGAATTTACCACAGCCTTCGAAAAAACAGAAAACATGAAGCCAGAGATCTTCAGAAAGTCTTAAGATCTACTTGTCACCCCTCTGTATCATCTATGGCCATTAAATCTCAGGATCTGGCAGTGGCCGTTTAAGATCTTGATCAATGTTTAAACTAATAACAATTCTAACATTAGAGCCAGGTGTGACAGCTTGTCTAATCTCAGCACTCAGGAGACTAAGACAGGAGAAGGAAGAGTTCCAGGCTAGCCCTGGCTACATGGTGAGCTACTGTATTAAAAACAACAACAACAAAATAAAATTTACATACAAAGTGTCATTCCTTCCACTCAAGGGAGCAAAGAGTTGCATTAAGTCATATAAATACAGGCAGATGACACAAAACCTTCATCATGTATACCCAACTATATGGATGTGGAAATATTTCTTTTATCAAGCACATAATCTGTTTTACCAATAGCTAGCAAGCCATTTTTTTGTAGTCTGTCTTTCAGCTGAGAAAACAATACACTCCTTACATCATACTGGAAGAGGAATCACTTCAAGATTTCCAAATAACACAGCAATTTTTCAAATTTGAATTCCCCTGAAGACCATTTAGACATAGTTTCAAATGTCCTATTCTTGGCCTTCATTTGTGCCAAACCCTGGACAAATAGGGAGCAAAGTTCTAATTCCAACACATTCCCTTCCCACAAAGGTGTTCAAGTCTGTCCTTCCTTTCCTTTAGCATGCTATCATACACTGCAGGCTGGAATATCCCAGGAATCAAACTGGGCTTCTGCTATACAGAGAAGTGCAAAGTCCAAATTATGTTGCCGCTATCTCTTGTAGATAGAACAAACTACCTCAGCCCTGCTATGCCTGCATTTGCTGTTTCGTTTAGGATGCTGTGGTCTGCACTGTCTTCTTTTGTCAAGATATGGCATGCATGAAGCAGATGACAGGTACGACTCATGAAGGCTCTATGCTAGACCAACACAGTCAAGGCTGTGCTGGACCGACATGCTCAAGATTGAGTTTTTTGCTAGTTAGTATTTGCAAAGTGTACTTGGGTTGGTGAGAGGTTCAACAGATTAAGGCACTTGCTGCTAAAGCCTGACCACCAGAATGTGATCACTGGGGTGGACCATGGGTGGAAGAACAGAACCTACTCCTGCAAGTTGTCCTTTGACCTCCACCCACACAAACCCATACAAAATAAATAAATAAAATAAACAGATGAAAATTGGCTTATCTGATGCCTATCAAAAGGGGTGCTGTCTTCCCTTTTGTATTCTTACCCAGTTTCCAGTGATCTAACATGCTGATGAAGGGACAGATTCCTATTTCTTTTTATCAAAGAGATATTAAAAAGTACAGTAGAAATAAAACACAAATTCAGTATTTTTTTAACCAGATTTAAGTTTTTTTATTCAAACTGACCCAAAGCAAAACTTACATTACAAAGGAAGAACAAAATATATTATGATATAACACACTGGGAGTCACATGAAAGCTAAATTTGTAGGCATTTGGCCTTATCCCAATCCCATCCTGGGCTAAAGAGCAATTCTGTAGGGAGGTTAGAAGCTCAGTTTTGTATGGTCCACTCTGGGCATAAGCTATACTTTCTTGTGTCTTATGAGGGTGTGCATCTGACAGGTCATGCTAGATTCCCTCATGCTCCAGATGTACACTCCTGCCACTGCCAGAACGCTGAATTCTCCAGTGGAAATGCTGTTCCAAGCATGACTGATGATGAATTAAAAAAACCAAACAGTCAAGTCATCCAAACTAATGAGCATGGGTTATTCTGTAGTAAATAGTTTAGAAATATGGGAATTAAATAATCTAGAAAACACTCTTACTCTGCTGTACATTTATAAACACAAATATTTACAAAAAAAAAACACCCTTGTTTTCAAAAGATGAGGTTTGCAGTTCATTAATGATCATAATCTTTTATGAGCTGGTTTCTTTGGTGTACTTGCCAAATATATTTTTATAGTTTTAGTAATAGCCTTAAATGATAATTTTCAAAAGAAACAAAAGAATCAGTGGTGAATCTGATACTACGTTAAACTCTTTGCAGTCAACATTCTGGAAAAGCCAATTGATTTTCTGAAAACACTTGTTCTCACTCCTCATCACACGACCACAGAATGTTTCTCTGACAATCAAGTTCAAGTGCGTACCTGTGTGTTCATCACCATCTCTATTACCAACTGCATGGCGTTTCAGTTACTATTAAATATTGTCTGTGACTGGAATTCTATTAACAAAGGACATTCTTTTAAGCTTCCAGATAAACCTCAAACAATAAATAATAGAATTATACACTTCTTCATTAAATAGAAATTTCAAATCCAGGAAGACCGCTCATAATTTTTTTTTTTTTTTTTTCTGAAGTCACAGCAGTAACACCTAACTAAGGATTTGTCTTAATCTGATCTTTTTACTTGGAATTCCCTGACTCAAACTCAGTGGCTTAGTTCAGAATCCTTTGAATGGCTGGGGAGTGAAAGTCATTTTTAACTAACTGAATAAAATAATACACGCATATGTAAATGAGCCCTGTGCATCGGGGACATTAACATGGCTGCTCAAAGTGCAGGTCCCCAGGCTCCTTCCCACCTCCTCCTCATCATCCTGGGCTTGGGGTTTTAACAGATGTTACACTCAAGTCATTCCTGGTCACACCACGTCCCTAAGGCTGCTAACAGGTCTCAAGCCTCGACCTTGGTCCTGAGTGAAGTGAGAGCACAGCTCAGTAGCTGTGTTGGGATCAGTTCTAACTCTGGCCACATGCTGCCTCGCTGCCTGCAGGAGTCTTTGGGCCACATCAGTGAGTCCTTGAAGTCCTTTTTGCCAAGGCTGCCTGTTCTTCAGAAATCTACATGCTGCCAAGGCACAGGCAAATGTGACACTCTGATACCAGGACTATTCCATAGCCAAGAGAACAAACTGCTGGCCTGAAAGCAGTTCCATTATGTAGACTCCTAATTCTGCTTAGTTATGCTTCTAGGTGGAAGTTTTATACTGTCTTCAAACTAGCAATTTAGACAAAAGAGTTGAAATCCTTATCTTGTAAACTTCTGATAACATATTAGCACTGTATAAAGTTTTAAATGTGTCAAAGCACTAAGAATGACACCAGGGCATTGGAAAAGGCTCCAGTAAACTAACACAAGGATGAACAAAGTAGAGCTCGTGGCTGAGGGCACATTCCCGATGCCTAGTGTCTACGGTACCTTTTCCTTTGCTACCGACATTTCACCACATCCAGTCCTATCTTGCACACATATGTCCAAACGAGAAATGAGACTGAAGCTCCTGAAGAGCTTCGCTGTCGCTACCCTTAAAACAAGACAGGAAATATTTAATTAGCACATCAGGAAACTAGGCAGGTTTACAAATGTGTGCCCATTAGAGATTTTACCCTTAAAAATATATATATGTATAGATATTACCAGGAAGGAAACAAATCACCATGAAACCATCCCAAATTATTTAACCATTAAAGCCAAACGGTTTAACAAGAATGTGGGCTATTTCTAGGGAACGCTCTACCCATCCAGACATGAAATTTGTTCTTAAAGTGAAACACAACACAAAACTTAAAAAGGATGTTCAAGTGACATACTGTGGGTCTGCAGTGGGAACTGGAGTGGTGGTTCCTGCTCTGAGGGGCACATGGAAGCTGGCCAAGGAATGAACAAGAGTGAGATTGTGGAGGGAGTACACCAAGAGCGTACTGCACAGAGGCACTGTCTAAAAACAGAGTACACTGGCTTTAAAAAGTTATTTCCATTTCTCATTAACTTTTTTTTAAAGCACAATTCAACGAGACAGGAGTTGAAATACAATGTCTCAGGGTAGTGTCCTACGGTTGTTAAAAAAAAAAAGTTAAAAACAAGCACGCATCAAAAGGAAGCAGAGGTACTGTCATTGGAAAGCTACATTAACTAGGAAAAAAAAGAGAACACTTTGAAATAGCTGATCTGTACTCATTAAAAATGAATGAGGTGACAGCATTACTGTAAGTTTTCTCTCAGGGAGGGAAATTTTCAGCATCACCCGGGAAAGCCTGGCACCTCCCAACTGTAACGAGTATTCTGCTGGTTTCTAGTACCTTGCTCACCAATGAAGCCAGAGTACTAAAAGGGGAAATTCTCCACTTCGAACCTGCCTGTGTCATCTAGGAGAAAGTTTTCTAAATGTAGGACTGTATAGAAAGGCTTGGACCTCATAAACTTGGACCAAGAAACCAAATTAAGACCTTCAAGCATGTGGTGTGTGTGTGTTCGTATATATAAAAAAATTCCTCCCCTACAATGAAAACCAAACAAACAAAAAACCTAAAACTGTATACCTGCTTTCTGACTTTACAGCAAATCAGAAATTGCATAGGATATACTTTGTGCAAGGCCAAAAGCCTTTTCAGTATCTGGAATAACTCCTAATCCTGCTCACTGTCCAGGTACATCAGATATCATCAAATTTGTGTTTTAAGTAGTCTTTCATGACCTTGGCAATTGGGAGTTCATCAAGCAGCTTCAGGTTTTGAAGGCCTATACACTGTCGAATTTTAATTCGGCACAGGTCCTGCAGAGTTCTGGGCTGTCCTAAAACAAGAGAAAAAAAGACAATGTTACAAAGCTACAAAGTACTACATTTAAGAGGGACTCTGATGTCTGGGAAAGAATTATCTTCTTGGGAAGTACCTGCTGTGGACTGTCCTCCGTACCTTCATGTGGTGTCTTCCCACTGTCTTTCGGAAAACCCTTTACCATGTGGTAGTGTTACGAATAGCTAATGTCCTTGATTTGAATACTTGGTCCCCAAAAGGTGGTGCTCTTTTGGCAAGTGGTAGGAGGAGTGCTTCAGGAGGCAGGAGCTAGCTGGAGAATCTAAGTCAATGGGGGCAGGCCCTTGGGGTGTATTATTCCTGTTCTGTTTTCTTTCCTGTCTTCTGGGATAGGAAGAGCCTCCTCTACCATAGGCTCCTGCTGCCATGATGTTCTGCACAAGCACAGGAGACCAAGAAACTTTGGATGGAACCCTCTGAAACCATGAACCAAAATTAATCTTTAGTCCTTTAAGTAGTCTATGTTAGGTAATTTGATCACAATGGCAGAAAAATCTCTGACACAGGTAACTATTTCTATCTCCAGTTTTAAATAAGGATATTCAGGATCAGGATTTAAGTAACCTGCCCACTGTAAGACAACCAACCATAACTTAGAATGAGACTACGTTCTTCTGATCTCAAGCCTGGTATTCTTTCTACTATAAATCAAGAGAATTATAGTTCTTGCTCTGATGGTAAGTCTAATAAAGGTAAGCTTCTGTAAGCAAATTGTTTCTCTGGGCCCTAGTTTCTCCACAAGAAAAGCATGGACTGAATGGGATGCTGACTGACTGTGTGCCCTTTAGCTCTGAGGCTAGGATGCTGGAACCTTGACACTTAACACAATCTCTACAGAGCTTTGCAAATGGTCTCTGCTTGCCTAGTTGCTGTCATTCAGGGCAGGGCAGAACCCTGGCTCTGAGATGAGGGCTGGGCAGTGCAGGGAAGAGTCTGAAAGATATCTCAAGCTAGTCTAAATCTAGGGCTTGCTTCATAATCCACGCCCTGACCACCAGCCAATAAACACTAGTGTCATTCAACCCAAAACAAAAGCAATAAATTCCAAATTCTTTTTCTTTTAACTACTTCGTTTTATACCCAAACATTACTGATCATCCCCAATACAAGCAAAAATCCTTCCACAGCACTTCAGCAGGCATTTGGAGTCACATTCTCTATTCCCACTAAGTGGTAATAGTATGAAAAAAAGACCACATAGGAATTCTTACTGCTTATGAATTGTTACAGGCTCCTGACATGTATGAAGTTCTTTAATTCTTTTTTACAAGGGAAGTACTTATAATATCACCACTTCATTTTATATTTTACTGACAGCTCAGAGAGGTTAAGATGCCAAAAAAAAAAAAAAAATCAAAGTGATGGTATATTTCAGTGGCTCTCAAACATTTAGTCCCAAATCTCATTATGTTTTTAAAAAAATTATTGAGGATATAAAAGAACTTTGATGTGGGCCGTATCTATGGATAATAACCACATCAGAAGTTAAAACAGAAATTTTGGAAATATTTAGTTCATTTTAAAGTAATTGAAACAACCCATTACATGTCAAAATGAAAACTGTATTTTCAAAAAAAAAAGGTGGAAGAGAAATGGCATTCTTTCACATTCTTGCAATATTTTAAATGTAAAACTTAATAAGACGATAGTTGAATTTTCATATACATTTTGTACTCAGTCTATTAAAGTAAAAATCACATTATCTAGTCTCTAGGAAGCTCCACATACACTCAGGAGAGAAGGAATGTGAAAAAGGCAGATAATGCCTTGTGCTATGACAATCATTCTGACCTCACTGATGCCCTGGAAGGTCAGGGGACCTCTGAGGCTACACAGGCTATGCCTGGATAAACACTGCTATTCTTCGTCCTTTATTCCCTGCTTGCACTGTTCTTTTTTATTTGTCATTTTTATTTTATGTGTATTAGGGTATTGCCTGCATGTATGTGGGTGCACCTGTGCCATGCAATGCTGTGGAGGTCAGAAGAGTATTCCCCTGAACTGGAGTTAAGGACGGTTTGTAGCCACCATGTGGGTGCTGGGAATCGAATCCGGGTCCTCTGCAAGAGCAGTCAGTGCTCTTAACCGCTGAGCCATCTCTTCAGCCTCTGCTTGCACTGTTCTTATATAGGGTGATAATGCAAAATTAAGTAATTCTTTGTAAGTATAAAGGGCTCCTTAACATTTAGATCTCCTGGTCTAGCGACACTGCTAGAACACTTCCCTAGTGTGAGCAAGGCCCTTAAGTTCAATTCCCTAGCACCAAAAAAACAGGAAGGAGGATTTAGGTTTTTGCTCTGGAAGGCCTGGATGAACACTGCTTTCCAAGAAAGTACTTCACATATGGCCTCCTAACAGAGCAAGTGATTACTTTCTTGGAAATGCCTGTCAACCACAAGTACAGATGTGTATAAGCAGAGATGACTAGGTCAGGCTCTATCACATAAAAGTTACAGTTTTATATTTATATGTCTGTCATTTATGTATCAATCCCCATCCTCTTCACTATGACATTCCATGAGAGCGAACACGTCTGGCACTCTGCCAATATAAACCCAGTGCCTGACACAGCACTCAATAAATATTAGTTTAACAAATAAGTATTTAATAAGCTTGCCCTTAATTCTAAAAGTCAACTCACTGCAGAACACAACGATGTCAGCATCAAGTCCCTTTCTGTTAGCTTTCATCAATAAGCATGGGCTACCTTATTATTAAGAGAACAGAAGATCATGTCAGTATTTTTCTTCCTTTTCTCTTTAATATTTTATTATTTTTTATTTTATTTTATTTTATGTGTAGTGTATATTGCCTAACTCCAGTTCCAAGGGATCCGACAGCCTCTTCTGTCCTCGACGGGCATTGCCCAACACAGGTGTACTTCCCACGTCAGTATTTTTCAATAAATGTTTATATAAGAGATCTGCAAATACAAGCCAAAGCATGGATTAGATGTGAATCTTCTCTCTATAAAGGGAAAAATTAGATTTTCCTAATAGATGTCAGGTTCTTCTCGAGTATTATTTTAATGGAAAGAACCACCTCCCCAAACAGATGGGGTAAAGTTGACACATTCATACTTTTATCACCAACAAAATGGCAAAAAAGACATTATTGAAATCTGCTTAGCTAAAGCAAAAAGGGAGGCAAAGGTTGTCCTGGGGGTCCTCTGGTAGTCTTGCTTGGTGGCAGTCATCCTCCCCATAGATGACTATGGCATCTCCTATCCTTTGTGCTTTTTATAATGTGGCCAGAGATTCCTCTCGCTAAGTTGAAACTAGGATCATGAAGAGACAAGAAACTTGTAAGGATGGTAGTATTTCCATCAGTATTAGACTAAAGATACCCCTACTATTAATATTTAGTTGAGTTCCCCTAACCAACTTATGATGCTGATGATGTTAATTTTCTGCTCTACACAGTGTTTCTGGAGCAGCTCCACTGGGGTCTTTCCTCTTGCAAAGCAGTTCACTCATGTAGCTGGTGAGTTAGTACTGTGGTCAGCTAGGAGCTCAGCCAGGACCGTTCAAGCCTACATATACTGAACCCTTCGCTCAGGAGACATTCTAGGCCCAAGTATATTGAAATGCTTTGCTCAGTTTTCCATTTTCCTGCTCCTTAAGCAGTGTGCCACAGCATCCTTTAATTTTTGGAAGAAGTGATCTTCCAAAGATTTTAAAGGTTTCTTGGCCACATATTAACTCCTGATTACAGAATCACTTTTAATGATAGGGTCATACTGTAGTGGTTTAAAAACATCAACCCTGGAGCCAGACTGCCCAGGGTTTGGTTCTGGGTCCTACCACTTACCATCTGCATGATCTTTAGCCTCCTGCCTCAGTTTCCTCCTAATAATGGCACACACCTCAAAGGCTTTACAAACATTAAAAATGTTCATTTTGGCAAAATGTTGAGAAGAGTGCCAAGCAAACAGCAAACATTTGGTAAGTAAATTTTAAAATATTAATATATTAATTGCTAAATATTTGTAGGGATAACATTGGCTTCTTGTTTCCAGGACAGTAGAAGGCCCTTCCCTGGAAGGCAGTCTTCATCCGGGTCGTATTAAGATGCTAAGGAAACTAGTTGGTTACTAGTTAAGGAGCAACTAATAATCCACTATCGGAAAGCAGTCTTGGGTAAATTGCTAGAAATCATGTTCTAGAAATCACTGCACAACTTCAACAGGGCATGATGTGAAGACTTTTACTGTATAAAAAGATGTGGAGTGAGGAAGAGAGGGTGTTATTACATGCTCTCTACTTACATAGGGATAGTAACTCATCTGGTCATCTATCAGCATGCTGAATTAGCAGTAGGCTAAAAATACAGAGTGAGGCTACTCATGGTGACTACTGTTACTCCACAGACCATCACAGGAGTCTTTCTTCATGATTGAAAATTTAGGACTAGAAGATATCATTAAAAGATGAGGACTTATTTCTTGTCAAGGCCACTTACAAGCATTTCCTGAACATCTACTATGTACTCATCAATGCAGGGTCCAAAGAGTAAAGGGGAAAAGAAGAGGAGGAAGGAAGAGAAAGAAGACAGAAAAAGAGTGAAAGGAATGAAAGCAAAAACAAACACCAACAGAAATGCACACATCGTTTACTGGGCATCTTAGAAAATAAATTCTTACCTGTTAAATAAGAATCACCCCATCTATGGGATTGTAACAAGGAAAACAAGGGATACCTCCTAGAAGACTGTAATTTAGGGAATTACAAACGGGGGATGCAGAAAAACGACAAGGTGTTCAGACTAATGAACTACAATGGAATTACACAACAGTTCAAAGGGTTAATCTCCCCATTTTGTGAAGAAGCTCTATCATCACTAATAACTGGGTTGGTACAAAATAGGAAATCTGCTTCTGAAGGGTCCAGTTCAGAATAAATGACAAAACCTAGGCCAACAGTATAACTTAAAACTTAAACATCCCAAACCAGCTCCCTTTGACATACCCATTGCGGC